CCTATGTAACCTTGTGGGCCAACCCAGGGATGCACAGAGGGGCTGGGGCACAGGGAACTATCGAGGGACTCGGGAGCGGTGAGACACCGGCCAGTAACATCAGCCTCACCTGGGCCTGGGGAGCCGGCTGAAGGGCTGGGACTGTCTTGAGGGCGGGGAGCCACAGGAGGGTGTTCAGCAGGACAGTGACACGATCAGATGTGTGTTTCTGACAGACAGGTCTGGTGGGGGTCGGGGGGAAGCCTGGGGGGGCTCCAGCAGGGAGTCCTGATGACCTCAGGTCTCCCGGCAGCTCTCCCCACCTGGTGCAGGTGCGCGAGCGGATCCGCATCAATGGGCAGCCCATCAGCCCCGAGCACTTCACCAAGCACTTCTGGCGCCTCTACCATCGGCTGGAGGAGACCAAGGTATCCATACAGCAGGGCTGGTGGGGGGACAGAAGCGGGCACTGGAGCAGGGGGAGGGACCCAGAGGGCACTGCGCTCTCAGGACCCCACCTCCCCAGAGCAGAGGCTGCATGGACCTCAGGCTCTGGCGTGTTTCTGTCCACAGGACAGCAGCAGCTGTGTCTCCATGCCTGCATACTTCCGCTTCCTCACGCTCATGGCCTTCCATGTCTTCCTGCAAGAGAAGGTCTGTGCCCATTCCCTAGAGCCCTGTGTCTAAGGCCTCGGGGAGGGGAATCTTAAGCAGACTGGGGGCTCAGGTGCCCTGTACCCCATGCCATGCCCTCTGACCCTCTGCAGGTGGACCTGGCAGTGGTGGAAGTGGGTATCGGTGGTGCTTATGACTGCACCAACATAATCAGGTGAGGGCGGCTGCTTGGGGGGAGGGATGATGGTCTCTAGCCCAGGTGGCCCAGGGCAGGGGCATCATGGCCCTTTGGTCTTCTGCAGGAAGCCTGTGGTATGTGGGGTCTCCTCTCTTGGCATCGACCACACTAGCCTTCTGGGGGACACGATGGAGAAGATCGCATGGCAGAAAGGGGGCATCTTCAAGGTGATTGGACAGCCGCAGGGAGGGGAGGTACATGGGCCTGGCCCTTAGAGCTCAGGGAAGAGGGAGTGGCGCAGGGTCCTTGCTATCCTGACTCAGGAGAGGACTTGGGCATCAGTGGGGTCTGGGTTCTTGTCTCAGCTCTGCATGTGGCTGGAGCAAGTTGAGCCTCATCTCCAATCTTAGTCTCCCCACCAAGTTGTTCCCATCAGCACTATGGGGGAGGCTGAATGAGCCTCTCCGACCCAGGCATGCGGGGGCCAGAGATGAAGGTGGAGGACCCTCAGCCGCCCTGTCTCCTTCTCTCCGTCCTCCACAGCATGGCGTCCCTGCCTTCACCGTGCCCCAGCCTGATGGGCCCCTGGCAGTGCTGAGGGAGCGTGCTGAGCAGATCTCAGTGAGTGACTGGAAGTGCTGGGGAGCCGCTTCATCCTTTTGGGCCGCTGCTCACCCAGCCGGAGCACTCTGGGTTCTAGGAGCAGGGCTGGGTTCTTGCTGGTGGGGAAAGATGGAGGAGCTGACGACATCAGGAAGGGCCTCCTGTCCAGAGAGGCAGCAGCAGCTCCTCTGACTCCTCTGCAGTGTCCCCTCTACCTGTGTCCACCGCTGGAAGCCCTGGAGGAAGGGGAGCCACCGTTGACCCTGGGCCTGGAGGGAGAGCACCAGCGGGCCAATGCCGCGTTGGCCTTGCAGCTGGCCCGCTGCTGGCTGCAGCGAAAGGACCACCAAGGTGAGTGGGCAGGGACCCGTGGAGCCTGCCTCTGAGGGCTGGTGGGCAGGGAGCCGTGGAGCCTGCCTCTGAGGGTTCTGAGAACATTCAGTCCCACACCGCCCTCCCTTGCCCCCAGGCATTGGGGAGCTGAAAGCCTCCAGGCCAAGCCTGCTGTGTCAGCTGCCTCTGGCACCCGTGTTCCAGCCCACATCCCACATGCGGCATGGTGAGTTAGACCCTCCTGCCAGCCGGGTCCCCTCAGATGTTTCTCACTTTGCTCTTTGAGAGGTGGGGTCACTCGATAATGGTGCCCAAGAGAAAGGGCTCTGAAGTCAGTAAGCTTCCTTGACCTTGAGTTCACAAACTCTCTATGAGCCTCAGTTTCCCCACCTGCCAGATGAGATGATTATAGGACCCACTGTGAGGTGACATCACCAAGGGACTCAACTCAGCCCAGAGCCTGTCGAGTATGGGATTAAAGTGCCCAGGCAGTGGTAGCTGCTGTTACAGTCATCCCTGTCATCATCATCACAAGACCATGAGATTCTTAAGAACGGTGATGTTTGTCAGGCTTCTTCTCCCAAAGCTTTCAGCACATAGTAGGTGCGCATGGCTGTTAAACCCCTTCAGCCAATGGTTCCGGTGCCCCACTGTGTGCCAGGCCCCATGTCCGGCCATGAAACAGCTCTGGGGCCAGGTAGATCTTGAATCACATCCCAGTCCCAAGACTCATGCTCTGTGACCTAATCTCTCTGAGCTAAGGGCTAATATGTGATAGTAGCCCCCCTGAGGGCTGCCTGGAAGAGGCAGCAGAATTGCTGATCCCTCTGGCACCGGTCATAGGCGCCTGGGCTGATCAGCTCCTTGGAGCGCTCAGACAGGGGTGGGGTGCGTGCTGTGGGGCGGGTTGTGTGCGAGTTGAAGATGGGAGTCTGAAGAGCGGCCTTGCCCGTCCCCCAGGGCTTCGGGACACGGAGTGGCCAGGCCGGACGCAGACACTGCGCCGCGGGCCCCTCACCTGGTACCTGGATGGCGCGCACACCTCCAGCAGCGTGCAGGCCTGCGTGCGCTGGTTCCGCCAGGCGCTGCACCGCCGCCCCAAGAGGTGAGTGCGGGGCGGAGGGGCAGGGGCGGTGTCCGGGGCCCAGAGGGCCGGGGCCGGGCCAGTGGAGGGAGGGAAGTTTCTGCGGGAAAGGTGGGTGGTGCGGGGAAGGTGGGAGGTGTGGTAATTCCCCTATCTCCCCGCCTCGCAGTGGGCCTGAGGTGCCTGAGGTGCGCGTCCTGCTCTTCAACTCCACGGGTGACCGCGACCCGGCGCCCCTGCTGAAGCTGTTGCGGGTGAGAGGCTGGCGGGGGTTGGGCGGCAGGCAGCCCAGCCCTGTTCTGGCTGTGACACCACATCCGGTGGTGGCTTCCCCCTGAACCTCGTTTCCTCAATTGTAGCCTGGGGCTAATCCCTGAATTAGAGCCTGCTTAGTAGCTAGGTGGCCTTAGCTGTACCCCGCCCCCAAGCCTCTGTTTCCCCCTCTGTACAATGGGCTGTACTGCCCAGGCCACAGGCCAGGCGGGGTACTGGGGTAGCTGGGGGGAGAGGGGGTGGCACTGAAGTGCTGTGGCTGGGTTTATGCAGCATCACCCCAGCGGAGGGCATCTCCAGAGATGGGTGTGTGGGGGGACTCCCTGTGCTGCGGGGAAGACAGGGTGGGGGTGGGCATCCTCTCAGGACTCTGACACCAAGCTTTACCCTGGCCTTCTAGCCCTGCCAGTTTGACTATGCTGTCTTCTGCCCTAACCTGACGGAGGTGTCATCCACGGACAACGCAGGTGAGAGGTGGCAGACATGGTCGCTTGAGGTGGGCAGGGCGTGGAGGGCCCTGAGGTGGGCTGCTCTGCTGGTGACTGTGGGGGCTTCCAAACGGGAGGTCTGGGTAGGAGCTGGGTTTGTCTCACTGTATAAATACCCTTTGATACATTCAGCACGTGGCTGCAATACTAAAAAAGAATTATCGGGGAAAACATTTTTCAAAATGCAGGTTAAACCTACTGATGGTCCTTGAAATCAGTTAGTGGGTCTCAACCAGCATTTTGTACTTTAAATGAAATCGAATGGAAAATATCCGTGTATTTGCACAGAGTAAGGGCAGGTACTATTTTATGAAGATTCTGCTCCAGACAATATACACATATGTGAGTACTGGGTTGCCATTGTAAAATGGATTTTTTTTTACTATGGGTCCTATTAACATTTTTTTGAAATAATATAAAAAATACAGCTCCCCAGGCCCCACATCAGGCTGCCTGGGGAGAGTCTGGAGAGCCCAGGAATCAGCATTTCTGGAAAGGCTCCTACACGCCCGTGACGGCCCCTGTCCAGTGAAGGCAGAGAGGCGAGGGTGGGGAGAGGGGAGATGTGCTCCATGGGCAGAGCCCCAGCTTTGGAGCTCAGCTGCCTGGCTTTGCTCGTCACCAGCTCTGAGCCACTGGGCAAGTCCCTGAACCTCAGTTTCCTCGTAGTGTCCCCTCTGAGGACGGACAGTGCCTGGGAAAGGCCCTGACTTACGCAGGTGTCCGCAGCGTGCTTGCCTTCCCCCACCCGCCTCGCTGACGCGCCGTCCCTGTGTCCTGCAGACCAGCAGAACTTCATGGTGACCCTGGACCAGGTGCTGCTCCGCTGCTTGGAGCACCAGCAGCACTGGAGCCGCCTGGATGAGGAGGCAGCCAGCCCGGACCTCTGGAGCACCCCCGGCCCGGAGGCTGGTGGGCCGGCGTCCCTGCTGCTGGCACCCCGCCTGCCCCACGCCCACGGCACCAGCTCCCTCGTCTTCAGCTGCATCTCCCATGCTTTGCAGTGGATCAGCCAGGGCCGGGACCCCGACTTGCAGACACCCAGTTCCCCACGGGACCTTCTCGCCCACCCTGTGGCCAGCAGCGGGGCCAGCGTGCTCCGAGAGGCTGCTGCCGTCCACGTGCTGGTCACAGGAAGCCTGCACCTGGTGGGCGGCGTCCTGAAGCTGCTGGATCCCTCCCTGTCCCAGTAGCTGAGGCGGTGGGGTTGGAGGTGGGGCCTCCCACACCCGCCCTGCGTCTCTGTGAACTCCCACATCAGGTGCCTTTGGTTTTCTGCTTTCCTGGTTCTGTCTGTCTGTCTAGACTGGCCCAGGGGCCTGGGCTCGGGCAGTGAAATAGATAGCTGGTGGGTGGGAGGTGGAGATCGGACCTCCTGTCTCTGAGCTCTGAGCCTGTGGTGCCTGGGCCTCTCCCTCCCTGCTGATATCGCGGGCGGGCGGGCGGGTGGGGGTGAGGTTGGGGGAGGGGGAAGCAGTTCTCCTGGGGGAGCAGGCCCAGCTGTCCAGCCCAGCTCCCACCAGACTGCATCCTGGCCAGGCCTAGGGTCCTGCCAGGTGTAGGTGGCTAGTTTCCCTCCCCTCAGTGGCTTTCTGGGAAAGGAGAGGGTCCCTGCCTGGGGCCCCGTGGGGACAGAGGGTGGCTGGATTAAATTAAAATCTTTACTTTGATTGAGTTTTTGTCCTCTAGCTCCCTCAGCAGACAATAGGGGGATGGGGCTATGGTGGCACAGAGGATGGATTGTGTAAGAGCCTGGCCCCTCCCTTCTGAGCCTCTGGCCTGATGTTTGTCGACACTGCTTTGCAGACCTCCCCACGGAGCCCTTGTGACAGAGTTCTCGTTCCCACTTTACAGACGAGGGAACTGGGGCTGGCGTACAGAAGCCATGGCACTGCCCACAGTGAGCCAGTAAGTGGCAGGTTCAGGATTTGAACCCAGAGCTGCCTCCCCCCATCATTTTAGGGGCCCCTTCCCTTCTCCCAGCCCAGCACTGGTTTCATGGTCTGATTTATTGGTGATGAGTATATCGGGGTGGGCCCAGGTCAGGCAGCCTGGCCGCTCCTATCTGCTGCCTTCCTGATGGGCAAGGAGGGAGGGGTCTCCATGTGACAGTTGCAGGAAGGAGCTAGGCTCCCCCGTTCCCAGGCTGGGCACTCCTAGGCTTCAGTTCCCCTGCCCCCCAAAGTTGTGCCGGCCCAAAGCTGTGCTGCGGGGATCAGATCCGGGTGGTTAGGGCTGGTCACGGAGGAGGCTGGGCAGAGTCTTTTGAGTTCTCACCTCCTGCCCAGCCCAGGTCATCGAGGGCTGGATCCGGTCAGGATAACAGGGGCTTGGATTTCTACAACAATGTGGACATATAGGGCAGCGTTCTGTCTCTCTGTGGTCCTGGGCAGCCGTACCCCAGGCCCACGGAGCTTGAAGGTTCTGCAGGGTGGGGTGGGGGAACCCCAAGGTGTTCCAAGCTGGTGCCCCCGCTGGCAGCAGGCCTCTGAGAAAGAGGCAGCGGGCAGGGTCCATCCTTGGTCGAGTGGAAGGGTTGGGATCCTGGGGTGAGTTCATGATCAGTGGTTCCCAGCTGGTGGCTGCTCAGTCTCTCCGGCTGGGCAAGGGCTGGCCGGGCGGCCCCCGGGGCTCCAGGCTGGGCACTACGCCATGCTGCTGGTGGAGCAGGGGGTGCTCTGGGTGCTCCCGATGCTGTGGTTGGTGCTACTGCTCTCTGAGGAGGCCGGGGCAGCCACTGCCACCACGGGCTCCCGCTTGCTGGGGGGACCTGGGAGCAGGGGCGGAGGTCAGGGCCCCGGCCTGGGCTCCCCACTCCCCCAGAGGCTTTGCTGGGCTCCCCCGGGTGGTGGTAGAGGGGTCCTGAGCACTCATGGTGGGGGCCTGGGATACTCACGTGTGTGCGAGTAGATATACCAGAGCGCAGCGGTGAGCAGGGCCCCGATGAGGAAGGCGCCAAAGGTGATGCCCAGCACAGCGGGCAGGACGAGGGTTTTGCCTGTGCAACCAAGGGAGGGACAGCTGGGTCAGCGCTGCTGCCCCCACCCTGGCTTCCTCCCTGGCTCCCTGCTCCTGTGCTGGCCAGGAGCACAGGTTTTGGTGTGAGTCCCAGCTCACCCACTGCCCTGACTTCTCTAGCAACCTCAGTCTTCTCATCTAGCAAATGGGTTCAACACACCCATGCCTGGTACTTAGCTGTGGTTGCTATGACCGTTTTCCAAGAGTGGCTATCCAGGCCTTTTGGGCCATGCCCTGCCTCCCAGTGCTGATGCAGATGCATTTTAGGGAGGCTGGCTGGCATCATCTGAGCAAAAAGTGGGGTCTGGGATTCCAGAGCCCGTCCCTCCTCGCTGTCTAACCTTGGGTCCGGCCCTGCCCCCTCTGAGCCTGATACCCCAGTAGCAACAGGCAGACCAGCTCTGAGCCCTCTCTAGCTCTGCTCTTGAGCTTTCCAAGCCTCATTCCTTCCACATCCCCGACTCCTGTGTGATCGGGCCAGGCAGCCGCCCCTTGGGTCTGAGTTCCTATCCATGCACTGGGGTTATCAGCCCTTGTCTCCCTGTTGTGGCTGGGAGTGGGGCTCCAGCCTGGCCTGGGTCCCCCCCACATCTGCCTCCAGGGTCAGGGACTCTTCTGTCTGGTGGGGGCCTGGGTCCAGAGGGAACTAACAGAGGCTGGAGGGTGCTGGGCTGAAGGGCCATCCTCTGTACTGGGGGTCTGAGGGCCCCATCCCCCCAGTGAGGTCAACCAGCCACCATGGGGTCAAGAGTCCTGCCCCACAGGGCGGCCAGGAGCAGAGGAGGCTGTCCATCCGGAAGACACAGCTGTGGCTCCGACCGTGGGCAGCCGGGGAGCCCTGGTCCTGCCCGCCCCCGGGCTGCTCTCTTGGGTCCTCCCTGCTGTGCGCCTAGGCCCCATCCCTCTGGGCCGTCTGTTGTGCCCACTCTGACCTCAGCCACGAACCCCAGAGACCTGAGGGGAGCTCACCAGGCATGTCGGGGCTGACGATGTTCAGGCGCATAGAGACGGTCCTGCGGACCTGGGGGAGGAAGAGAGTGGAGTGCGGCCCAGCCGCTGAGGGAGCCTTCAGTTTGCTCGCTGGCACCCGGCCCAGCCCCAGCCCACCCTGGGCCGTGGCTTTGCATCCCACCCACCACTTCCAGCTGGGAGCCCTCGAGCCGGTCCTGGGAGATCTGGGCTATGGGAGTGTGTGGGGGACAATCCCTGGCTGCTACTGGAATGGTTCACACGACCAGAGGCCCTCTGTGCGAAGGGCCTGAGAGGACTGTGTCCAGGCCGAGCGCCTGAGAGTGGGATCCACTGGACGGTGAAGCGCTGTGACTAGTAAATGCAGAAAATCAGAAGGTTGTCTCCTCTCTGAACCCTCTCCCCCGAGGCCTCCTGTTCCCTGAGATTACACTGGTGATCATGCTTCATGGGTGGGTGGGTGGATGACTGGGATGGTGGAAGGACTATGGACGAATGACTGGGAGGGATAGTGGGTGGACGGGTGGATGAATGGACGGTTGCAGCTACGTAGCCTACCAATGCTGAAGACACAGCAAAGTCATCAGAGGCTGTGGGGTTGCAGAAAGAGCACCCCTGAGAGCCAAGAGCCACCCTGACTGGCTCTGCCCTTCGCCACCTGGTCCCACATCCTCCTGGGCTGTGGTGTCCCTTCCTGAAACCCCCACACCCGAAAGCCACCCTTGACATTGGTCCTGGCCCAGGCCCCACTCACCAGGGATGAAGTCCGAAGACGCATGGCTACGGTGCAGCTGAGGGTGCCAGCCTTGGGCGTGGGCACCATGTGGCCACGGAGGAGGAAGCTGAAGCGCATGACACCATGGGGGCTGGAGTCCAGCAGGTTCACACAGCTGCCCTTGGCTGCCTGGTTCTGGATGAGTTCCACGGTGTCTGCCTCAGGCTTCAAGTCCAGCTGGCAGCTGTCCAGTTTGGGCATGATCTCGGGGGTCGGCGGGGACATGCTCACCTGCGTAGGGAGGCAAGGGGTCAAGGCATGAGCGGTTACTCTGAACGCTTCACCCTGCCTGCTCTCATGAGATAAGCTAGATTCATTCTAGAGTTCCTGCCCTGAGCCCGATGGTGGGACCGCCGTGGGCCTGCCTGGAGGAGGCGGTGACATTCTACTCGGCGTCTCTGAGCTCTGCCTTTCCTATCTCTCCCCTCCGTCACGCTCCGTCTGGCTCCCTCCTTTCTCTGAAAAGTTGAATTCTCTTCTTCTCTGTACTAACGGTGGGAAGAAAGGTTCTGAGAAACCCCAGGAGTGGGCAGCCCTGGGCGGTCAAGTCCAGTACCTGCACAAAGCCCTGCTGCCCCAGCTCAATAGCGTTGGAGGCCTGCAGGAACTGCGGGGTGAGGTAGAGGCCCAGCTGGAAGGAGAGGCTCTTCATGTCGATGCACTGCACTGCTTTCTGCGGGAGACGGAGGGAGATGGTCAGGGAGGGTGGGGTGGGGTGGGGATAGGAGCAGGGGTCATGGGCCAGAGATGCCTGACCCTCACCCTCATCTTTAAAAAAACACACCAGCCTGGCTGGCTGGCTGAGCGGTTGAGCATCGATCTATGAACCAGGAGGTCACGGTTCGATTCCTGGTCAGGGCACATGCCCAGGTTGTGGGCTTGATCCCCAGTGTGGGACGTGCAGGAGGCAGCCGATCGATGATTCTCTCTCATCATTGATGTTTCTATCTCTCTCTCCCTCTCCCTTCCTCTCTGAAATCAATAAAAGTATATTTAAAACAAACAAAAAGCCCACACCAAACTAATACTAAGAATCCGCTCCGCACCAGGCCTGTGTGAAATGCTCTCCCTGTGTCCTCTCAGTGGCTGTGATAGGCACCCCCACAGGGGGTCCTCTCTTATGCCACGGCTCACACCCGTGACCTTGGGGCCCAAGGCCACACAGCCAATATATGCTAGAACCTGCTGACTCGCGAGGCTGAGAACATAACTCTCGACAGTCCTGCTTCTACTCTACAGAAGGGGAGGCTGAGCCCCGCTGAGGACACATGGCGTGCCAGGGTCAGGGCGAGTTCCCTGAGGCCTGCTCCCCCCCAGGCCTGGAGGGGCCCCGGGCCCTGGACCAGATGTTCCCACGGTGACCATCCATCTCACCCGCTGCGGTGATGAGCTTGACAGGAAGCTGACGACCACCTGCAGAGACAGAGCCCCGAGCTGGTCAGCCAGAAATGACGGAGGACACCCCACCCAGTTCACCGTTTTACGGAAGGGGAGGCGGAGCCACCCCTGGCTACCTGGGCCTTGTCGTCCTACCGAGCGCCACGCCCACTCTCCCCAAAGCCCCTCAGCCCAGAAGATGAAGGAGGTGCCTGAGGGGGGCACCCAGTAGGCTGCTCCCTTTCCTGCCCCAGCTCTTACCTCATTGTTGACCACACTTTCTGTCACTCTCATGCCGCAGCTGGAGTAGGCGCTGTGCAAGACAAGCTGGTCGCCCCTGTCCTCAGCCTGGCAGCGGTGGTCCAAGAAGGTCAGGCTGCTGATGTTGCACTTCAGAGACTAGGCCAGGGTTGGGGGACACCGTCAGGAGGCACCCGGCTCCCTGGGTCCTGTCCACCCAGCACCGAGGACGGATCCAAACCCAGGGCCACAGCCCTCTGCTTCCCTCTCCGCTTTTGTTAGATTTTGTCATCCTGCACCATTTAAGACGATACCGTTCCTGAATTTGACTTGCTTTTGTACCTAATCTTGTCTTAAGCAATAAAATGTGCGACATGGTGAGTTTGATGTACTATGTACTGTTTTCCTTCTAATATATATTAAAGTAAATGCAGAACTATTAGGATTTTAAAATTCATGTGAGTTCGACATACAATGATGGCTCACAGCCCCAGGGGCATGCAGACCCCATCAGCATAATCCAGTCCCAGAACCATGGGCCCCTGGGCCTGCCTGTGCTCAGCAAACTTTCTTTAAAGGGCCAGGTAATACGTTAGGCTTTGCAGACCAGGTGGTCTCTGTTGTAATTACCCAACTTTGCCTTCAAAGCCTGAAAGCAGCCATAGACCCTATGTACACATGGGTGTGGCTGTGTGCCAATAAAACTTTATTCACAGAAACAGGCAGTGGGCCCTAGTTTGCCAGCTCCTGTTTTAGAAGAATCAAATCTTAAAATTTCTCAGTCCCATTTTTAGCATCAAAGAATCTCAGAGTCTTAGAGGTGAGTGGATAGTTAGAGGCCCCCTTGAGTTCAGCCAGCTCACCCCCAGAACGCTGTCCCTGACTGCCGCTGCCCCTTGCTGCCCAGGACACCTGAGGAGACATCACCCACCAAATACAAAGGGCTCTACATGGTGAGGCCCCAGTGACCGTGGGCCTGGGACTCAAATCCGCATGCACGCTGACCGCTTTCCATAAACCCATGAGAGGCTGCCTGCCCCGTGTTTGGGGGTGAATCTGTTCAGACCCCTTTCTTTGTGTTTTCTTCTATACAGACATATGTACTCAAAGGAAATGTGTGGATTTATTTATTTATTTATTTTGATTTCAGAGAGGAAGGGAGAGGGAGAGAGAGAGAAACATCAGTGATGAGAGAGAATCATTGGTCGGCTGCCTCCTGCACACTCCCTCCTAGGGATCGAGCCCGCAACCCGGGCCTGTGCCCTTGACTGGAACCGAACCTGCGACCCTTCAGTCGCAGGCCGTCGCTTTATCCACTGAGCCAAACCAGCCAGGGCTATTTTTTTTGCATTTTTAACAAATGGCACCATACTGTCCTTTATGCGGTGGCTTAGTTTTCTTACTGGACGATAAATTATATGCATCTCTCTGTGTCTACATGTATAGATCTAGCACATTCTTTTTAGTGCAGTGTAATGTTCCAAAGGTTGATGGGTGACAGTGTAGTCTCCAAGCCCCTTGGGACTGGGTAACAGTAATGGCAGCTATCGCTGGTCACCGCGCCACCTCCCTCCCCCACCTCCCTGACATCTGCTGGGGCAGGTGCAGGCAGGGGAGGAGGCAGCAGACAGATGGAGCTTCATATAGGCCTCTATACCCCCTCCCCCCAAAAACAACCCACAAAAACCTCCCACACGGACTTAACCACAGACTTAAATGTCCTACAAGTCCCAGAGGCCATGGATGATTTCCAAGCTCCAGTAGCAAGGTTTCTGGCCTCAGAACAGCCAGAAGACGTCACAAAAGGGAAGAGGGGAAGCTAGAATGGTCCAATTTTTTCAAATATCCAAAATGTGACAAACAACTGTAGCCAAAATTTAAATAACAAACCAGGAGGAATTATTTCGGTAAGAATGAAGAACAAAGGGCCCACATTTCCCCCCCCCCCCCCCCGTATGTAAAAAGCTCATAAAATCATCAAAAAAAAAAATACCAAGCCATAGTGATAAAGACCCTTAGGTTATTATCAGTCATATGGAGCCATGCCCAGACTCACTGCTAAGCAAAGAAGTATAAATTAAAATAAGACTGGAACACCGCATTCCACCTCCCACACTGGCAAAGGTTTTTTTAAACAAAAATTATAGTCAAGAGAGAGAGAGAATCACGGTGCTCTCATAAATCAGCAGTAAAAATTGGAATCATCTTTTGGAAAGTGGGTTGTCAACATGTATCAAAACTCCCAGAAAGTTCACTCACTTTAACCCAGCAATCTCACTAATGTGGAAATCCAGACTAAGAAAACAATCCCATATTTTAAAAAGTCTGCACAATGACATTTTCTGCATATTTATAATATTGCAGAACTGGAAACAGGCTAAATGTCTAACAAGGGAGGAGGGGTTAATGATGGCCTGTCAATATGATGGAATAACATGTGCTCATTAAATGTGATATTAAGTGCATATGTCGAAGTTCTAAAAATACATTAAGAGACTATAGCTGGAGTCAAACAAGTGCATATATATGATTCCACCATGTAAGAAACACACAGAGGCCCTGGCTTGTTTGGCTCAGTGGCTAGAGCATCGGTCTGCGGACTGAAGGGTCCCAGGTTCGATTCCGGTCAAGGACACATGCCTGGGTTGTGGGCTCAATCCTCAGTGTGGGGCGTGCAGGAGGCAGCTGATCAATGATTCTCTCTCATCATTGATGTTTCTATCTCTCTCCCCCACTCTCTTCCTCTCTGAAATACACACACACACACACACACACACACACACACATATATAAAGAAACACACAGAGAATACATTCTAGAAAGAAACAAACCGAAATGTTGGTAGCCATTGTCTTTGGATGGAGAGATTGAGATTTTCTTCTTTTCTACTTTTTCCACATTTTTTTAAAGCCTGTGTTATACTATATAATCCTATATAATAAAAGGCTAAAATGCAAATTGTCCCCTCCACCAGGAGTTTGACCAGGGGGTGGGGCCAGCCCACCAACCGCCTGCGCCCCTGCCCCCTGGCTGGCCAGGCCCGATCTGGATGGATCAGGGGTGGGCTGGCTGGACCCACCTGTGCACGAATTCGTGCACCGGGCCTCTAGTTTTTAAATAAATATCCTTGTTCTTCATATTGTGGAGGTATTCTAAGTGAGCACCCAGCTCAGCTTGCTTTTAGAATGAATACTGACAACGACCAAGTAGCTATTTATTGAGCACTTACTGTGCACCACAGCTGGCTCAGAATGTCAGACCTTATTTAATTCTCACCACACAGTAGGTACCATTTTCAACCCCATTTTACAAGTGGGAAAACCGAAACTTGGGAAGGATGTGAGAAATCCAGGGTTAGGACCCCAAGGTTCTTAGGTCAGAGGAGGGACCAGCTGCCCTGTCAGCCAGACCAGAGGCGCAGGGATTCCCTTACCAACATAAGGTTTTTCTTGAGTTCCAGAGTCATGGTGTCATCGGAGCAGTTCGGCCGGAGCAGGGTCATGAGCAGCTCCTCGTTGCAGGTCTCCTTGAGAGGCGTGGTCTCCACAGGTGTGGGTGAGGTCTGCAGCCCACCTGCGGGGCAGCAGAGGCGGGCTAGGTGGACAGTCCCTGAGGGGCAGTCACTAAGTGTGTCTGTGGGCAGCTACTCTCACTGTCCCCGTGTTGCAGGAGGGAACAATGGGGCTCTCGCAGGCTGATGCGACCTGCCACTCACACAGCTGAACGGGGTGCGCACCACACGGTGGCACCTGATCCAGGGAGAGGGCAGAGGAAGGCAGGAGGGCAAGGGAAAGGAGCCGGTGCTCACCGCAGCTGCTGGCCTGAAGGGAGATGGCACTGGCCAGAGGGACCTCCACGAAGGACGCCACCCTGCTGGCGTTGAGCCTCTGGGCCTCCTCGAGCAGGCCTTGGGTTGTGTCTGGGAGCACGAGGTGCTCTTCTCTGAAGCTCTTCCCTGGAAAGATCTTGATGGAGTAGTTACCAGTGGCCTAATGACAGGGAGAGAGGCGGAGCAGGGGGTCCGAATCAGGGGCACAGCCTGGCCCGGGGGCCGCAGCCCAGCCAGGGTCCTGCCAGGCCTCAGTGCCCTCTCCTTTGCTCCTGCTGCTTCCTCTGCCTGGGCCCCCTCCCCTCATCTACTGGCTACTTTTTGTCCTTCAGTTCAGCATGGGGTTCGCTTTTCTAGGAACTTTGCATGAGCCTGTGGGTTGGGTTAAGGGCCTCCCAAGGGGATGATGGAGAGCTCCCTGGAGGAGGCGGCCTCTAGGTCTGAAGGAAGGATAGGTATGAACAGAGGAACAGGGTGGGGCCAGAGGTGTCATCATCAGGTGCAAAGGCTCAGGGCTGGGGAGCTGGTGCAGGGCACCTGGGTCCTCCCCTTCGGGAGCCTTGGGGAGGGCTGCGCGCGGCTGTCTGGGTCTGGGAGCAAGACTTACCCTGATCTTCATGTTGTGGTTGGCGTCGATGAGCCAGGACACGTAGGGTGGGCCCTGCAGGATGAGCACAGCGTCAGGATCCCCTGAAGTGCAGCTCAGCTTCACCTCCACCGTCACTGTCCGGGGCCTGCGGGCAGACAGACCGCCCCCTGTCAGCGCTGGCCGGAAGGCCGGAATGGGAGGGTCCTGACGGGTGGTGGGGGGTGGGGGGCAGGCCAAGTGGGTACAGGCTTACCTGGTGGGACGTAGGTGTGAGGAAAGGATGTGGAAACGGGCGGGGCTTGGGCTCATAGGGGCGGGGCCCAGAGATAGGTGGGGCAACTCTGTTCTGGGGGGGGGGGGGGCCTGAGACTTGGACAGGCGGGGCTTAGTAGGGGAGGGGTGCCATGGGGCGGGGCCTGGGGCGGGGCCCGGCACCCTTACTTGGCCTCGGAGCCCGGCAGGACCCTCAAGATGTGCGCCTCCTTGTGACCAGCCACACCCTCCAAGGCGCAGCCGCGGACCAAGCCCTCCGTGTGCGGCCACCATTCGAGCCTGTGGCCCATGTCCATGTTGGGTTGGGGACGGCAGGAGGACGGTGACCTCGAGACTGCAGAGACAAGCGCACTCAGTCCCCTTCCGGAGCAGCCAGGCACCTCACACAGAGGCCCCCCCTTTCCCGCTGTAAAGTTGGGGCCCACAGGATAGAGCATGGGAAGTGGGGGGCGTGGGAGGACCAGGGTTCAAATCTCCGCTCCACCACTCACTGCCCAGAGACTCATGGCAAGTCCCCCGCCTCTGTTTCCTTATCGTAAACACAGGCTCACACAAGGGATGAACATGGCACACAGTAGGGATGAAGCCCTGCGACCAGCAGCACCCCATTGCCCATGACCTGAAACCACGTCATGGACTTATCTGTGTATTTATCTCCCCACCAGGGACTGTGTCTGTTCCCAGAGAGTCCCCAAATGCCTAGCACAGGGCTTGGCACATAGTAGGTGCACAATAAATAATAGGCACA